ATGACATTTAATGTAACATCTATCTATCTATCTATCTATCTATCTATCTATCTATTTTCTTATCGCAGTCTGTTAATATCTATCTATCTATCTATCTATCTATCTATCTATCTCTACCTTTCCTAATATCTATCTCTCTCAGACTATTCTGTTCATATCTATCTATCTATCTATCTATCTATCTATCTATCTATCTATCTCTTTTCTTATATCTATCTATCGCAGTCTGTTCATATCTATCTATCTATCTATCTATCTATTTCGTTTCTTATATCTATCTATTACAGTTTGTTCATATCTATCTATTTATTTATCTATCTATATATTTCAGTCTGTTCATATCTATCTATCTATCTATCTATTGTCAATATCTATCAATCTATCTATCTATCTATCTTTAGTCAATATGTATCTATCTATCGTTTGTTAATATGTATCTATCTTTTGTCAATATCTATCTATCTATCTATCTATCTCCGTTTAGTTAAGATTTATTATCTATCTCAATATATATAAAGAGACAGAAAAGGAAAGAGAGAGACAGAGAGGGAGGGAGAGATAATTTAAAAGAGTTAGACAGACCACCAAATTCACACACACACACACACACACACACACACACACACATATATATATATATATATCCTTTTCGGATTTAAAGGTAATTCTGTAATAAGTTGATCTCCCCGAGTCAATTTAGGTGCGAACTGTTACACGTCTGTTGTTTTTATTCCTCTTCCTCTCCGATGAAGCCAAACCTGTAAAAAAAGAAAAAAGAAAAAGAAAAGAAAAGAAAATAAAGAAAAAATTGACCCCCCTGAGCTGGAAATTAATGAGCGTCAGTCTTATTACGTGATACACGACTGTTTCACCGAAGGAATCGCTCAGGCGAGACCCTGACCAATAATAATAATAAAAAAAAACAAAAACAAAAAAAAACTGCGACATGAGCGATCAATTATTAATCACTGGTTCGTCTGTAAACCCCTGGAGGCGTCAGTGCAGGATGTAGATTCCTCAATCGAGATGATAGAAAGAAAGAAAAATGTTACAGCGAGTCAAATTTGTCCTCTAACAGATCTGTGATTAAGTGCGGAGGTTGGTTGAATGGTACTGAGCTGTGGCTAAAACCTATCTCGAAATGTCTGCCTATAAATCTTCTCGATTGACCTTTCCATCACTCTCCACGTTCTTTCTCTTTCTCGCTCGCTCGATCTCCCTCTCGCCATCTCTCGGCGGGATGCAGTCGTTGGTAACTGATGTAATGGAATAACCTGTCATCCCCATGAGTACACTATAGCTACGAACAAACTATAAGTATCTGTAAGTCAACGGACTACTTGGAGATCTGTTACTCAGCTCTTAGCTGTTGTCGAACTCTCCGGGCAGAGAGGAACCCTGACGAAGCTATGCCGAATGGCTGGGTCTCGTCCGGGGAGATAGACAGAACCGAACCTGTTTATACGAGGTTACGGGGATTTTTTGGCCGAGATTACGGACTCGGATTGCCCCACATTAAACTTGGCATTGTGTCACATCTTTCTTTGTAGGGAGGCAGGTAAATATCGTCTAGCTGGAATCTTTTCCAGCTGTGCTGGTCAAATTCTCAGACTTCGGGCAGAGAGGATCCCAAGACTAGGTTATGTCAAAGGGCAGAGTTTCGTCTTGAAAAACAGCTACCTGACCCCGTTTTAAACGGGTGGGCGAAAACTTTCACGTAGGCCCCGTATAAAACGTAATCAGGTTACTGCTTTCCCGAGAAGAGCCTCTTCCGAGGATCCTCTTTGCTCGGAGGCAGAGTGTTTGAACAGCACAGCTGGAGACGATTCGGTATCTAGCCACCCCACCACGAGGGTTGCATGTGGCACAGGCCGCCGAGTTAACGTGGGATTTTCTCCGGGCCCGTAGGCTCGGCAAAAAATGCCCGTAGAACCCGTATAAACGGGATCGGGTTGGTCAACCTCCCGAACGAAACTCTGCCCTTCGGAGCCTCGTCCGGGTTTCCTCTCTGCTCTGGGGCAGAGAGTTCGACCGTCAAGCCGAAGCTGGAGACGATTCTCTAACAGCAGGATATCTATCAACCGCCACAGGCAGTTATATATGGCACAAGGTCGCATTTAATGTCGGGTATCCGAGCCTGTAGGCTCGACCAAAAACTCCACATAACCCCGTATTGCATCATCTGGGGATAACCTTTGCCTGGAAGCAGAGAGTGTGACCAGCACTGCTGGAGACGAATTTCTAACTGCAGACCAACATACAGTATTTAGTACAGTATTTATGAGGAAATGGGACATACCCATTATCGTTCCTTAGGAATGCTACAGCAGATATGATATCTAGCATTCATAATCTACTATGATATGATAACTACGATTCATTTACGACTATGATATGATATCTACAATTCATATTCAGTTATGATATATCTTCCATTCATTCTCTGCTATGGTATAATATCTACCATTCATTTTCTATTATGGAATGTTATCTAACCTTGATTTTGTATTATGATATGATATCTACCATCGATTCTTTATTATGGAATGATATCTACCATTCATTTTGTATTATAATATGATATCTCCTATTAATGCTTTATTATGGAATATCTACCATTCATTTTGTATTATATGATATCTGCCATTTATTCTTTATTATGGTACGGTATCTACCATTCATTTTCTATTATGATATGATATCTACCATTCATTCTCTGCTAAGATGTGATATCTACCATTCATTTTCTATCATGATATGATGTCTACCATTCATTCTCTACTATGGTTTGATATGTACCATTCATTTTCTAGTATGATATGATAACTTCCATTCATTCTCTATTATGATATATCTACAATTTAATTTCTATTATGATATCTAGCATTCATTCTCTACTATGCTAAGATATCTAGCATTCATTCTCTACGATTGTATGATATAAACCATTCATCTATTATGACATGATATCTACAATTCATTTTCTACTATGGTATGATATCTACCATTAATTTTCTATTGATATGATAACTACCATTTTTTTCTACTATGGTATGATTTCTATCATTCATTCTCTATGATGGTATATCTACCATTCATTTTGTATTATGATATGACATATACCATTGCTTCTTTATTATGGTATGATATCTACCATTCATTTTCATGATATGTTATCTACCATTCATTTTGTATTATGGCATGATATGTACCATTCATTTTCTATTATGATATCTAGCATTCATTCTCTACGATGGTATGATATAAACCATATGACATGATATCTACCATTCATTCCCTACTAACGTGTGATATCTACCATTCATTTTCTACTATGGTTTGATATCTACCTTTCATTTTCTATTGATATGATAACTACCAATTTTTTTCTACTATGGTATGAATTCTATCATTCATTCTCTATTATGGCATGGTATTTACCATTCATTTTCTATTATGTTATAATATCAACCATTCATTCTCTACTATGGTATATATCTACCATTCATTCTCTATGATGGTATGATATCTACCATTCATTTTCTATTATGATATGATATCTATCATTCATTTTTTACTATAGTGTCATAGTTACCAAATGTTGCAAATATGAAATATGTTAGGCTTAAAATTAGAGTTTGTGTTAGTGTTAAAGGCAGTGGACAGTGAACTGGTTACGTATTAAAAAACATTAATAATTTTTGTACAAAAAATCATCAAATAGTGTTTTTAATATTTGCAAAATGATTTGATATCATGTAAAATAAAAAAAAAACAATAAACAAGTCATCGTTTACCTGAGCATTTTTCCAACAATGAGTGCATCCTCATTTACGGGAGGTCGTAAATGCCTCAGTAGACATTATATTATAGTAACACCTACATTTTTATTTAACGATACACTTAAACCTGTAGATAAAAGTCCACTGCAAATTTTATGATTTATTTGTTGAAACAAATAAAATTATAATTTTTAATAAAAAGATAATAAATAAAATTCACGTAAAAAAAACATTTAATTATCTGTTCATTATAAACTTGACAGTTAATGAGAAATCTGTGTTAGCCTTTTCTTCAGAATATCCTCTTTGCCGATTCGAATTTTGGGCTGCAAAATGTGGACACATTTTACAAGGATTCTATCTTTGATCGATTTTGTTTTTAATATAGTTTATTGCAGAAAACCTTCTCCTTTCGTTAAGAGCGCAAGAGTTATTTCCCTTGCTTTTTATGCAACGTTAACGGATAACCAAACATGAAGTAATATTTGACTCTGTATTTATTTTCGAGATGAGGTCTTGTAATTATTTACTTTATTTACATTGTTCGGACAGTTGGCCTCATCTTCATTGCCATATTCACGACGTTTAGACCGTTGTACACTCCGGCCTTCTTCTATATCTGTCTATATTTCTGAGATGAGGTATTGTAATTATTTACACTATTTACATTGTTCGGACAGTTGTCCTCATCTTCATTGCCATATTCACGACGTTTAGACCGTTGTACGTTCCGGCCTTCTTCTATATCTGTCTATATTTCTGAGATGAGGTATTGTAATTATTTACACTATTTACATTGTTCGGACTGTTGTCCTCATCTTCGTTGCCATATTCGACATTGAGACCGTTGTACGCTCGGCCTTCTTCTATATCTGTCTATATTTCTGAGATGAGGTATTGTAATTATTTACACTATTTACATTGTTCGGACTCTTGTCCTCATCTTCGTTGCCATATTCACGACATTGAGACCGTTGTACTCTCCGGCCTTCTTCTATATCTGTCTATATTTCTGAGATGAGGTATTGTAATTATTTACACTATTTACATTGTTCGGACTGTTGTCCTCATCTTCGTTGCCATATTCACGACGTTTCGACCGTTGTACCATCTTCAGGTGATTGAAATTCGGCCACCGGGGTACATTGTTCTAGTTCCACTTGCCATACCTCTTCAGGATGCTCAGTATCAGTTATCTCTCTTTAACCTAATTCTCAAAGTTGTTTTTTGTTGTTTTTTTCACATCAGCTGTAGCCAGATATTGTACTCGACACTCTTTGGGTCAAGTCACAAGATTCGACTAATTTTTTTTTTTATGTTCTGGGCGATGTGTCCTTGAGGATATCAATGTAGGAATCCACCCCGCTGGATGAAATAAAGGGATCATTTCGAAATCCCAAGCATCTGAAGAAGGCCATATTGTACAACGGCCGAAACGTTTTGAATATGGAAACAAAGATAAGGACAACAGTCTGAACACTGTAAGTTGTTTACTAATATTTGGTGAGGAATATATTAATTGCATTCAATTCCATTTATTTTTAATTTTGATCAGTACAATTTTTGTGCTTCGGATATCTTAAGAAAATAATTTAGTTAATGACCCCTGTGATAATTCGCATAGATCGAAGCCTGACCCGTTATGAATTAGATGAAAGTTATCTGGATATCTGATCTACCAGACACACTCAAGCGGATATTTTTCCGAGCCACTGTAGAGGCGGAGCCAATGTATGCTGCCAATGGACATTAATTAAACCCTACAGTCTAAGCTTGTTGGAACATACTTTCAGATGCTGAATGTTCTGCTTAATATTTATTGGAGACAACCTCCAAATAAATCACAGCTCTATGAAATCTAATAATTCTACAACCTTACATGAACGCAGAATACACGCTTTGTAGGACACTGCTGGTGAGCAAAACGAGAACTCCCGAGTTATCTCCCCTGGAATGTCAACCATAGAGTAAAACATGTTTGTGGCTCAGGATACACGTATATTGACAATGTTATGACACAGTATGCCACCTTATTGACCTTCCGACGTTGAGGCAAAGCAGTGATAGCTGGCGTGAATGCCCGAGCTAGTACGACCGAAGAGAATAAAGAAATATTTTTTTCTCGGCATCCCTACGATTCTTTACACGGTATAACACTATGCCGCGACACACAAGTTTAAAATCACTGCCTTACAACAATAAAGCCAGCCAGCTATTGGCATACTAAGAAATCTTTCTTCGTTTCTTTTTACCTATATTGATTCTCTTTCTTTCCAATCTATGTTTGTTGTTTTCTTTTTATTTATTGGTTTGTTTGTCAAAGGTAGCTTTGTCTGATCAGTACTTTATCTTTCGTGTCATAAGATCAGTACAAATCGCAAAGCGTCTATACTAACAGATGATCCGTGAGTCCGTTAAGGTTTCTCATCGAGACAATAGTCTCCGTTCTCCATTCCTAAAGGAACCGGATCAATTTCGTTAAAAGAGATACGCGTCGAGAAACCTGCTGACATAATCAAACACCAAAACAATAATAATAAAACAAACTGGTAACAGATATGTGACTTTCAGTGTTTTCATCAGATTCTTTACATTGGAGAGAAAATTGACGTAGTCATTGCAATACTTCTCCTCCTATAATTTTTTTTTCAAAATTGGCGGCCCACCTCCAAAATGAAATAATATTTTGTTAAATTGGGCAAGGAGTGGATTGTTCATTTTAAAGCTTCTAAAACAAAACTTATTTTTACCTTCGACCATTATGGCTGATGCTATCCTCCGGGAGAGTAAATCATTGCTCTTTCTCGGACTAAAATTTTCTACTGACATAAAGTGGAAAGATTATATCGAATCAGTTGCTAAGTTTGCTGCTAAGAAATTACCTTCAATTTGTTGTTTACTGTGGCAAAGATTGGCTTGTTAGTTCTAATGCTTCCAAATCGAAACTGCTCTTTTTGAATTGTCTGGGGGAACCGTTTTTGCCTTCCATCAGCACGGCTGATGCTATCCTCTAAGAGAGCAACTCATTGCAACTTCTCTATTTCACGTATTCAGAATACATGAAGTAGAAAGATTATTCATATACATGAAGTAGAAAGATTATAATGAATCAGTTTCTCTGATGAACTTTCCTATTTTCTTTCTCTGAAAATAATTTTTGATTCATGAATTAATTTTTCTATATTTGTGTTTGTAGTTTTCCTTGTTTTTTTATTGTTTCTAACCTTCACAGGTCATATTGAGAGCCAGAGATAGAAGAATTTAGCAATAAAGTCAGATAGGCAGATGATCTTAACAAATTGACCTTCAATCTGTTGTTTACTGGGGCAAGGAATGGTTTCTTAATTCTAAAGCTTCCAAATTGTAACTGTTCTTTTTGAATCGTTTCAGAGAACCGTTTTTGCCTTCTATCAGCACGGCTGATGCTAACCTCTAAGAGAACGACTCATTGCGCCTTCTCAAACTAAATTTTTCAGATGACTTGAAGTGGAAAGATGATATTGAATCATTTGGTCTGATGAACTTTCCTGTTAACATTTTTCTGAAAATAATTTTTGATTCATGCAGAATTATCTAAAAACGTTGGTTCACCATGTCGTTCTCGACAATTTCTCTGTCTTACATATTTATAAGTCTTTCATTCGTCCTCGCTTTGAATAATTCTGCTACATCTAGACTGATATTCCTGGTATATATTTAAAGATTCGTGATAAAATCCAAGGTAGAATCTGCAATTGTATTGATCCTAACCTGACATCTCGGCATTAGTCACTATCCCACCTCTGCAATGGTGTTTCTCCGATTTTAAGAAGGCTGCTAAACAATTACTTTAAGAAAATAAAAGTACATAATCATTTAATTTATTTAACCCCAAACTTTGGAACGACAGTGTATAAAAATTGCCGGGTTCAAATTGAAAGTTAAAATTAAAAGGAAAATTTAATTGATTTATTCGCTTTGTACCGCTTATCTAACGTTTGCATCTCTATCTATAAAAGGCAGGATCTGTGTGCTTGTGTAACGAATGCACGGCCGCAATTTTCGACGGATTTGCACTAAAATTTACATGCACATGCTCTAAGTTAGTGACAAGGCCAAGACCGACTTTGCATTTCCCAACTCCCATCGATAGTGGAAATAATCGAATTTTTCATGCTTCTACGGCAGTTTTCATGTAGTTTGCGGCCATTTAGTACTGGCCAGAGTGAGAGCCTATAGCTGGCTGCCACAAATAGGCAGGAAGATTCTATTGGCCAGCGTGAGAGCCAACAGCTTACTGACACGAATGTTAACTAGCATGCTAGCATGTAAAAAAAAATCGATAGCTGCATTCGTCACAAGTGGGAAAAAGTTAAATCTGCATGGCACTTTACTCCAATTGGCTCATTCGCTTGCTTAAACTCAACGTTGATTCTGATTCCGCAGAACTGGGTTGGGTGTGAAAAAGTATTTGTTGTTAACATTCTTTTTCATTCAATTTTTCCAGTTACAGTCCTTTTTTTTAAAGCTGATCGTTTTGTGTTCATTTTGTTTAGTTCTTTTTTCGTAACAGATTTAATGTTTAGTATATAGCTTAGAAAAAAATTCGCAGTGTGAGATAGGCAAGAAGTAAGGCATGTAACAACATCAGCACGGCAAAGGGCACTCCTTTAAAGGCAAGGAAGAGCAAAAATATTTTAAGTCACGTGATAGCGATTGCTGTATGAGTCGTACGAATTTTGAATCAAGCACGGGCAACGCCGGGCCATGCTGCTAGTATTATTTTTATTCCTCTAATAATAATTTTGTGATTCAAGTCTTACTAATTAACCCATAGCTGAGGGAAAGCGGTAGACACATGACTAATCAGACTTTGACAAACAAACAAGAAATAGTATTGGGATATATATAAATTCTATATTAAACTCAATATATAAATTTATACCTCACTTCGTGACCAGACCACGGCAGTTTCCATAGATTTATATTCTGGATTATGTAATTAAATTTAAAAGCGAAAAAATTAGACTGTGTAGCTAATCAGTACTGCATCTACGACTTTTTAACCTTTTTCAGGTCATTTAAAGCCCACAAAGGTATATAAGTCTTCATAACTATCCCGTAGCAGGGGGAGGAATTGGATGTATGTCATTCCCAAGGGTATTTGCGCGTAAATGAATATGTAACGAATCCAACAGGTATTGCATTTCGGATCTGCGGGTAAGAAATCTGTGCCATTATCCATTGCACCACCCGCACATCAAAGCACTTGGTACTTGAAGGGAAATAATTAATAATAAACAAGAATTAGTAATAGTCATCAAAATTTCTGTAAGGAATTCGGGCGTCAAATTATCTTTTTTACAATTGATATCTTCTTTTTCTTCTTCTTCCTCTTCTCTACCGTCCTTTTTTTATTTTTCTCTTCTTTCTTTCTTTCTTTCTTTCTTTCTTTCTTTCTTCCTTTCTTTCTTTCTTCCTTTCTTTTTTACTTTCTTTCTTTTTTACTTTCTTTCTTTCTTATCTTCTTTTTCTTCTTCTTCCTCTTCTCTAGGGTCCTTTTTTATTTTTCTCTTCTTTCTTTCTTTCTTTTTCTTTCTTTCTTTTTACTTTCTTTCTTTTTCTTTTTTCTCTTTCCGTCCTTTTTTTTCTTATCTTCTTTCTTCCTCTTCTCTTTCTTTCTTTTTACTTTCTTTTTTCTTCTTTTTTCTTCTTTTCCTCTTTCTTCCTTTTTTATTTTTTTTTTCTTTCTTTCTTTTCTTTTTTACTCTTTCTTTCTTATCTTCTTTTTCTTCTTCTTCCTCTTCTCTACAGTCCTTTTTTATTTTTCTCTTCTTTCTTTCATTCTTCCTTTCTTTTTTACTTTCTTTCTTTCTTATCTTCTTTTTCTTCTTCTTCCTCTTCTCTACCGTCCTTTTTTATTTTTCTCTTCTTTCTTTCTTTCTTCCTTTCTTTTTTACTTTCTTTCTTTCTTTTTTACTTTCTTTCTTTCTTATCTTCTTCTTCCTCTTCTCTACCTTCCTTTTTTATTTTTCTCTTCTTTCTTTCTTTCTTCCTTTCTTTCTTACTTTCTTTCTTTCTTTTTTACTTTCTTTCTTTCTTATCTTCTTTTTCTTCTTCTTCCTCTTCTCTACATTCCTTTTTTATTTTTCTCTTCTTTCTTTCTTTCTTCCTTTCTTTTTTACTTTCTTTCTTTATTATCTTCTTTTTCTTCTTCTTCCTTTCTCTACCGTCCTTTTTTTATTTTTCTCTTCTTTCTTTTTTCTTCCTTTCTTTTTTACTTTCTTTCTTTCTTTTTTACTTTCTTTCTTTCTTATCTTCTTTTTCTTCTTCTTCCTTTCTCTACCGTCCTTTTTTATTTTTCTCTTCTTTCTTTCTTTCTTCCTTTCTTTTTTACTTTCTTTCTTTTTAACTTTCTTTCTTTCTTATCTTCTTTTTCTTCTTCCTCCTTTCTCTACCGTCCTTTTTTTATTTTTCTCTTCTTTAATTCTTCCTTTCTATTTTGCTTTCTTTCTTTCTTTTTTACTTTCTTTCTTATCTTCTTTTTCTTCTTCTTCCTCTTCTCTACCGTCCTTTTTTATTTTTCTCTTCTTTCTTTCTTTCTTCCTTTCTTTTTTACTTTTTTTATTTCTTTTTTACTTTCTTTCTTATCTTCTTTTTCTTCTTCTTCCTCTTCTCTACCGTCCTTTTTTTATTTTTCTCTTCTTTCTTTCTTTCTTCCGTTTTTTTTTACTTTCTTTCTTTCTTTGTTTTTTACTTTCTTTCTTTCTTATCTTCTTTTCTTCTTCTTCCTCTTCTCTACCGTCCTTTTTTTTTCACTTTTCTTTCTTCCTTTCTTTTTCTTTCTTCCTTTCTTTTTTTTTTTTTTTTATTTCTTCTTCTTCTTTCTTTCTTTTTTTTTATTTTTCTCTTCTTTCTTTCTTTTCTCCTTTCTTTTTACCTTTCTTTCTTTTTTACTTTCTTTCTTTTCTCTTCTTTTTTTCTTTTCCTTTCTCTACCGTCCTTTTTATTTTCTCTTCTTTTTTTCTTTCTTCCTTTTTTTTTTTTTCTTTCTTTCTTTTATTTTCTTTCTTTCTTATCTTCTTTTTCTTCTTCCTCTTCTCTACCGTCCTTTTTTATTTTCTTCTTTCTTTCTTTCTTTCTTCCTTTCTTTTTTTTCTTTTCTTTCTTTCTTTCTTTTTTCTTCTTCTTCCTTTTTTTCCTTTTTTATTTTCTCTTCTTTCTTTCTTCCTCTATTTTTTTTTTCTTTTTTACTTTTCTTTCTTTCTTATCTATTTTTTCGTCTTCTTCCTTTCTCTACCGTCCTTTTCTTTTTTCTTTCTTAATTTCTTCTTTCTTTTTACTTTCTTTTTTTTACTTTCTTTCTTTCTTATCTTCTTTTCTTCTTCTTCCTTTCTCTACCGTTTTTTTTTTTTACTTTCTTTCATTTCTTCTTTCTATTTTACTTTCTTTCTTTTTTTTACTTTCTTTCTTTTTTTTTCTTCTTCCTCTTCTCTCTTCATTTTTATTTTTCTCTTCTTTCTTTCTTTCTTCCTTTTTTTTTTTTTCTTTCTTTTCCTTTCTTTTCTTTCTTATCTTCTTTTTTCTTCTCTTTTCTTTCCTTTTTATTTTCTCTTCTTTCTTTCTTCCTTTCTTTTTTCTTTCTTTCTTTCTTTTTTCTTTCTTTCTTTCTTTTTTTTTTTCTTCTTCTTTTTCTCTTTTTATTTTCTTCTTTCTTTCTTTCTTTCTTCCTTTCTTTTTTTCTTTTTCTTTTCTTTTTTTCTTTCTTTTTTCTTATCTTCTTTTTCTTCTTCCTCTTCTCTACCGTCCTTTTTTTATTTTTCTCTTCTTTCTTTTCTTTCTTCCTTTCTTTTTTACTTTTTTCTTTCTTTCTTTTTACTTTCTTTTCTTTCTTATCTTCTTCTTTTTTCTTCTTCTTCCTCTTCTCTACCGTCCTTTTTTATTTTTTCTTCTTTCTTTTCTTTCTTCCTTTCTTTTTACTTTCTTTTTTTTTTTTCTTTTTTATCTTTTCTTCCTCTTCTCTTCGTCCTTTTTTTTCTTCTTCTTTCTTTCTTTTTTCTTCCTTTCTTTTTTTTTTTTTCTTTTTTTTTCTTTCTTTTCTTCTTTTCTTCTTCTTTCTTCTTCTTCCTTTTTTTTTTTCTCTTCTTTCTTTTCTTTCTTCCTTTCTTTTTTCTTTCTTCTTTCTTTTTACTTTCTTCTTTATCTTCTTTTCTTCTTCTTCCTTTCTACCGTCCTTTTTTATTTTCTCTTCTTTTCTTTTTCCTTTCTTTTTACTTTCTTTCATTCTTTTTTCTTTCTTTCTTTCTTATCTTTTTCTTCTTCTTCCTTTCTCTACCGTCCTTTTTTTTTTTTCTCTTCTTTCTTTTCTTTCTTTCTTTCTTTCTTTTTTTCTTTCTCTTCTTTTCTTCTTCTTCCTTTCTTTCCTTTTATTTTTCTCTTCTTTCTTTCTTTCTTCCTTTTTTTTTTTCTTTCTTTTTTTAACTTTCTTTCTTTCTTATCTTTTTTTCTTCTTCCTCTTTCTCTTTCCTTTTTTTTTTTCTCTTCTTTCTTTCTTTCTTTTTCCTTTCTTTCTTTCTTTTTTACTTTCTTTCTTTATCTTCTTTCTTCTTCTTCCTCTTCTCTACCGTCCTTTTTATTTTTCTCTTCTTTCTTTCTTTCTTTCTTTTTCTTTTTTTATTTCTTTTTTTTACTTTCTTTCTTTCTTTTCTTCTTCTTCCTCTTCTCTACCGTTTTTTATCTTCTTTTTTTTCTTTCTTCCGTTTTTTTTCTTCCTTTCTTTCTACCTTTCCTTTTTTTTTTTTCTTCTTCTCTTCTCTTCCTTTTTTATTTTTTCTTCTTTCTTTCTTTTTTTTTCTTTTTTACTTTCTTTCTTTTTTTTTTTTTTTCTTTCTTTCTTCTTTTCTTCTTCTTCCTCTTCTCTACCGTTCTTTTTTTTTTTCTCTTCTTTTTTTCTTTCTCCTTTCTTTTTTCTTTTTTCTTTCTTTTTTACTTTCTTTCTTTCTTATCTTCTTTCTCTTCTTCTTTCTTTCTCTACCGTCCTTTTTTTATTTTTCTCTTCTTTCTTTCTTTCTTTCTTCCTTTCTTTTTTACGTTCTTTCTTTCTTTTTATTTTCTTTCTTTCTTATCTTCTTTTCTTCTTTCTTCTTACCGTCCTTTTTTCTCTTCTTTCTTTTTCTTTTTTCTTTCTTTTCTTTTTTCCTTTCTTTTTTTCTTTTTTTCTTTTCTTTTTACCGTCCTTTTTTATTTTCTCTTCTTTCTTTCTTTCTTTCTATTTTCTTTCTTTTTTCTTCTTTCTTCTTTTTTCTTCTTCCTTTCTCTACCGTCCTTTTTTATTTTTCTCTTCTTTCTTAATTTCTTCCTTTCTTTTTACTTTCTTTTTTTACTTTTTTTTCTTTCTTATCTTCTTTTCTTCTTCTTCTTCCTTTCTCTTCCTTTTTATTTTACTCTTCTTTCATTCTTCTTTCTATTTTCTTTCTTTCTTTCTTTTTTTCTTTTTTCTTATCTTCTTTTTCTTCTTCTTTTCCTCTTCTCTTCATTTTTTTTTCTCTTCTTTCTTTCTTTCTTCCTTTCTTCCTTTCTTTTTTCCTTTCTTTCTTTTCTTATCTTCTTTTCTTCTTTTCCTTTCTCTTCCTTTTTATTTTCTCTTCTTTTCTTTCTTTTTCTTTTTTACTTTCTTTCTTTTTTTTACTTTCTTTCTTTCATATCTTATTTTTCTTCTTCTTCCTTTTCTCTACCGTCCTTTTTTATTTTTCTCTTCTTTCTTTCTTTCTTTCTTCCTTTCTTTTTTACTTTCTTTCTTTCTTTTTTTCTTTCTTTCTTTCTTATCTTCTTTTTCTTCTTCTTCCTCTTCTCTACCGTCCTTTTTTATTTTTCTCTGCTTTCTTTCTTTCTTCCGTTCTTTTTTACTTTTTTTCTTTCTTTCTTTTTTACTTTCTTTCTTTCTTATCTTCTTTCTTTCTTTCTTATCTTCTTCTTCCTCTTCTCTACCGTCCTTTTTTATTTTTCTCTTCTTTCTTTCTTTCTTCCTTTCTTTTTTACTTTATTTTTGCTTTCTTTCTTTTTCTTTCTTCTTTCTTTTTTCCTTTTTTATTTCTTCTTCTTTTCTTTCTTTCTTCTTTCTTTACCTTTCTTTCTTTCTTTTTTTACTTTTTTCTCTTCTTTTCTTCCTCTTCTCTACCGTCCTTTTTTTTTCTTCTTTCTTTCTTTCTTCCTTTTTTTTTTTTCTTTCTTTTTTTTTTACTTTTTCTTATCTTCTTTTCTTCTTCTTCTTTCTACCGTCCTTTTTTATTTTTTCTTCTTCTTTCTTTCTTCCTTTCTTTTTTACTTTCTTTCTTTTTCTTTTTTTTACTTTCTTTTCTTTCTTCTTTTTCTTCTTCTTCCTCTTCCGTCCGTCTCTTTTTTTTTTTTCTTCCTTTCTTTTTTTCTTTCTTTCTTTCTTATCTTTTTTCTTTTTTCCTTTTTACTTTCTTTTTTATTTTTCTCTTCTTTCTTTCTTCCTTCATTTTCTTTCTTTTCTTTCTTTTTTTTTTTTCTTTCTTTCTTTTTTTTCTTTTCTCTTTCTCTTCCTTTTTTTTTTCCTTCTTTTTTTCTTCTTTCTTTTCTTTTTTTTTTTTTTTTCTTTCTTTCTTATCTTCTTTTCTTCTTCTTCCTTTCTCTACCGTCCTTTTTTTTTTTTTCATCTTCCTTTCTATTTTACTTTCTTTCTTTCTTTTTTACTTTCTTTCTTATCTTCTTTTTCTTCTTCTTCCTTTCTCTACCGTCCTTTTTATTTTTGTCTTCTTTCTTTCTTTCTTCCTTTCTTTTTTACTTTCTTTCTTTCTTTTTTACTTTCTTCTTTCTTATCTTTTTTTTCTTCTTCTTCCTTTCTCTACCGTCCTTTTTTTTTTTCTTTTTCTTTCTTCCTTTCTATTTTCTTTCTTTCTTTCTTTTTTTTTTTTCTTTCTTATCTTCTTTTCTTTTCTTCCTTTCTCTTCCTTTTTTATTTTTCACTTCTTTTTTCTTCTTCTTCCCTTTCTTTTTTACTCTTTCTTTTTATTTTTTCCTCTTCTCTTCATTTTTATTTTTCTCTTTTTCTTTCTTTTTCCTTTCTTTTTACTTTCTTTCTTTCTTTTTTCTTTCTTCTTTCTTTCTTCTTCCTCTTCTCTACCGTCCTTTTTATTTTTCTCTTCTTTCTTTCTTTCTTTCTTTCTTTTTTTTTTTACTTTCTTTCTTTTTTTTTACTTTCTTTCTTTCTTATCTTCTTTTCTTCTTCTTCCTTTCTCTACCATCCTTTTTTTTATTTTTCTTCTTTCTTTCTTGCATTTCTTTTTTACTTTCTTTCTTTCTTTTTTTTTTTTTTCTTTCTTTCTTATCTTCTTTTTTCTTCTTCCTTTCTCTACCGTCCTTTTTATTTTCTCTTCTTTCTTTCTTCCT